CGACAAAAATAAAAAGCACGTATTTTAAGAATACGTTTTTCAAGAAAAAAACGTATTTAGAGAATACGTTTTCAAGGGAAAAATGTGTTCCTTAAATACGTTTTTCTAAAAAACAATTAATTAACGTAATTAAGTTAATTAAAATAGGAAAAAACGTATTACCGAAATACGTTTTATGTTAAAAAAAACAAAACATGTATTCATGGAATACGTTTTATAAATAAAATTAATATTTACAATTTAAAAAATAATTTTTTTTAGAAAATAATATTTGAAAAAATAAAACGTATTTTGAAAATACGTTTTTAAACCTAATTTTTGCCCCAAATAAAAAAAATGCAACAAGGATCCCAGATTCAAGACTCGAACCCGGGTTCGGGTGAGTCCGTTATCTGTGGGGGCACCTCGTTACCATTAGGCCGCGCTAGGCTATCGCTGATAATATTGCGTAACTTTTGTTCTTATCCTTCAACGTCAAGATTTTTTATAGTATATAGTATTTTTAATACATAGTATATACATATATGTTATAATTTATATAGATATGAATATATGTATAATAGTATATACATATATATTATAATATATAGTATATAGTATATAACATATACTTTATAGTATATAACATATATGTATAATAGTATATACATATATATTATAATATATATGTATATAGTATATATGTATATACTATATACATATATATTATAATATATAGTATATAACATATAGTATATAGTATATAATATATAGTATGTAGTATATAGTATATAATATATACATATATGTTATAATTTATATAAATATGAATATATGTATAATAGTATATACATATATATTATAATATATAGTATATAGTATATAACATATATGTATAATAGTATATACTATATGTTATATACTATATACTACATGTTATATACTATATACTATATACTATATATTATAATATATATGTATATGCTATTATACATATATTCATATTTATATAAATTATAACATATATGTATATACTATGTATTAAAAATACTATATACTATAAAAAATCTTGATGTTGAAGGATAAGAACAAAAATTGCGCAATAATATCAGCGATAGCCTAGCGCGGCCTAATGGTAATGAGGTGCCCCCAGAATGAATCAGTTCAACTCTATTTTAGCAAAAAACAAAAAAAAATCATCCACAAAATGAATCAGTTCAACTCTATTTTAGCAAAAACAAAAAAAAAAAATCATTCAACTTAATGTTTTACAAATAATAAATAAAAAAAGTCATTCAACATAATATTTTACAATAAGAATTAAAAAAAAAAACATTCATTACATCATTATTGGGCACTGTCGTAATCCAACTTAAACTTAGCCAGTTCTTCTTGGACTTCCGCCGCCACCGGACATTCGCATCCCTGCTGCCAAATCGATGAAATGCCCAAAAGACGGTTCACCCACTAAACAAATGGAAGAATAAAAACATAAGACTAAAATTTATTAAAAAAAAATTATTGTAATGAAATAACATTAATTAAAATTTAGTAACCAACTTACATAGGCGGTATTAACACGCGTAGGGACCTCGTTCTCGTCCGGCAGCTCCTCGCCCATGAGAGTCGGATGGAAAACCCGACTATACCACTGCAGGTAATCCTCAGTCGCCTCCCCGCGATCCTGTGTGGTGGGGGTCAACATACCGGTGTTGACCGTCCCAAAAATCGGGAACTGGGTCCAGGCACCTACTGCAGCAGCCTCAGAATGCTCAACCCTGTAGTTCCTAGACTCCCAAGCACGTACTGCACTGATTGGCGGGTATGTAGGCAAGTACGGCTCGACGACATCGCGATAGCGAATCAATCTGCTATAAAGAGTCCTCGGCTCTATCGCATCTGGGCTGGAGTTGCCGTATGACAACCATTGCACCTGTTCACAATTGCATAAAAGCATTTATAAAAATAATTATTTTATTATAAATAACGGGTAACTAAATTTAAATAAAATAACTTCACGTACATCGGAGGCAGTGAGTCTGTCGAGGCGCCGACGGATGGCTGTGAGCCGATCGTCTGACCGTGGCGCATTCCCTACGCTCCACAAGCGTGATCGTGCGAGACAGTCAGGACCGATGTGTAGACGCCCCCCGGGTCGAAAATCGGGGAAATACTCATATATCCAAGACTGCAGAAGAGTCAAGCAGCCCAACATCTGGGCAGAGTCCCCTCAGCTGGCAATACCTAGCTGTCTGTACATGTATGCCAGCGTAGCCGATCCCCATGAGTAACCCCCAATCAAATCCAAGCCGTCGAGCACCTCGTGCAGGCAGCATCACCACATCCAGGCACCCGCCTCATCCCTAGCCGGCCGGCCTTTCCCCCTGAATGCCCCCGAAATGGCGGCTTCGAACACCGAACCACGCTGCCGGAACGAACTCATGAGTTCGCCCTTGGTGACCAAAAGTATCGACATGCAGAGCCCATGGCAGGCGTCCAAATCCGGGTCCTCAGCGACCACGGCTCCCTCCACTGGAACGCCCAAAATGGCCCGGACGTCGTGCAGCATGCTGCTCATTTCACCAAAAGGCAGGTGAAACGAGTTAGTATCCGGCTGCCATCGCTCCACAAATGCAGAAAGGAGTGGGATGTCCAAGTGGATGTGCATGGAGTCGGTCAAATGTGACAGCCCGGTCTGGTCGAGAAGAGCTCTCGCATCGGAAGACATCTCTTCACGCCAAGCCTTCAGATTCTCGATCGCTCTCAATCTGTTGTGGCATTTCAGCGGCCCCCTCAAATCTCCACTCCACATGCGGGAGGCGACGTGCCCTAGAAAGCTAGGGATGACACTCCCATCAATGGGCCCACCGGGCACTGGGCCTTTAACGATCCAGGGTTCATCATCATCGGTCCTAGCTCGTTTGCTAGTACCTGCATTAAAATACAACATATCTGAATATATTGACTTGCTGGCAGATGCATTAAACAAAATATATTTAATAAAACATATTTCATAAGTTTCCCGTTCTTTTTTTTTTTTCAATTAATGTACAACGTTACATTTTACATTAATAAAATATAATAAAAATTTTAAACTAATTTATTATGTAACATTACTACTAATTGATTATAATAATAATAAAAATAATTATAATAATTTTCTAACTAATTAATTGTATGGTTCCTCTAAATTACAAAATAATTATACCGTAGTTGAGGAGCAGGCCGATAGTACTTTTCTAACAGTACCGATAATTTGTTATGATTAAGTGAAAATAATTTATGTTAAACAACAATAAATACGTAAATTATTTACCTGATGAGGATGTAGATGGGCCAAAACGCCCCCCAGCCTGTCGTTGAGGAGCAGCCTGTACCGGATGAACCTGCTGTTGAACCGGCTGTACCGGACGAACAGGCTGTACAGGAGGACGAGGGTGGCTAGGACCCGTAGGCTGTGCGTGGTCCTGATCATCTGAGGAGTTGTCCGAGTCACACTTCTCTGAACCATGTTCTCTTTCGCCATACGACTCATCTGCATACCCCTGCTGACCATAGGGTAATGGTACGTGTGCGCGAGGAGGCATCGACTTCCCTGCGTAGCGGGGAAAAGCATATCGATTATCGATCATCGCCTGCCTTTCCATGTCCCTCTCCCGACGAACGGACGCATTGAAACCCCGACTGCTAGTGTGTCGGGTGCCAGAACCATCATAATAGTTATCCAACGCCTCGTCGTCATCCCTGGCATTAGATTGTCCAGGTCTGCCAACACCCTGAATCAGAAATATAATTATTAATTTTTTTCATATGTAATGACTATTCTAATAACTACTACAATAGATTATAATTTATTTTTATTTTAATATATAAATTTTGTTTATTATTATTATAATTATAATTGTTGAGATTTATAAAAGTTATTATAATTTTTTATTTAAATTATTATAATTAACACTAATTTATAATTATTATTATATTTAATTATAATTATCATTACAAATTATTATTATTATTTCTTATAATATTATTATTATAAGAATTTATAAATTATAAATACTAATATTATTAATATTATTTTTAGAATTTATAATTAATTACAATTTATTCAACTTATTATTATTATAATATTTAATAATTATTATTATAATATATAATTATTATTATAATTTATAATTGTTATTATAAGTATTATTATTATTACTAATAATTATTATTATAATACATAATTATTATTATAATTTATAATTGTTATT